AGGGAGGTGGCGGAGTGGGTGGTAAAGGAGGGGGTGGGGGCAGGGGGGAGAAATGACCCAAGCATTGTATGCACATATGAATAATAAAACTATAAAAATTTTTTTAAAAGTCACAGGAATAATTTTTGTAATATATATGAGTATATTTGTGTGGAACTGACTACTTCTAGAAAACAAACAAGGCAGAAGTAGTCACAACTGTTTGAGGGGTGAATTGTAGTTGTGGGTTTCAAAGCAGAATGTACCCCCTTAATGATGAGTTATTCATTTCTGGCCACTGTCATGGGAAATGGTTAAACTTCTGAGTTTCACTATTTGGGATAAAGAGACTTAGATATAAGGTATAAAAAGTGAAGTTAATTGCTCCTTGTTTGGTATTCACCTAGGACATAGTTTGTTCTACAGATATTATTCAAGCAAATCTCAGTTCTTGCATCTTGACCTTTGTAGCCACCCTGTATTTGAACATCCCCAGCAGCTTTGTGGATAATGCAGTGTGACAGACACAATTGAAAGGCATGACAGGGGAGGAAAAGGATGACACTTCTCTAAACAAAGGCTCGTTACATGTGATGATGCCATTCATTTGAGGCTCTCTGCTGCATCCTTGCCTCTCATACTCAGTGCCTTCCAACTCTTCCCACAGCTTTTTGCCAGTAATAAAGACTTAAAGCACTCGGGTGAGAGCTTATTTCCTTTTCAGCCAGGTAAACTCTCTCCTCTCCATTGGCATCTAACAGCATTGTTCATGGGAAACCAGCCTTATTCCTTTCAATTCATGTGAGGAAGAGGGCATTTAAACATGTTCTCCATTCTCTCAGAAAAGCACCTTTTCTCTCCACCTTCTTAACCCTGGTACCTGGTGTCACTGATTCAGCTGTTCAGTCTGAGACAACGTGACTTTTAAGTTCTAGCACCCAAGCTATAAAGAGAATACAATTCACTCCTGTCTGAGAAATAACAACCCAGAGTGCAGGGACCAGAAATGCTGCTCTGTTCTCCAAAGGTTTATTGCAGCTTTATTTTGAATTTTATTCCTCAATATTTGTGTTGGCCTGCATCAGTGACTCTAATTATATCTAGAAGATAGAACTGCAGATATATTTAGCTAGTTGGAAAAGTCCCCACAGTCTACACTAGGAACAGCTAAACATATGGAGCTCGCTGGGCCCCTGAAGGCTGTTTATTTTGTGAGAGATACTGGCAGACACTGACACCCATAGCATGGGGACAGGACAGAGCTGGAATGTAAGGCAAGGAAGGTCATCAGTAGGAAATCCATGAGAATACCCAGCACTTGTCCAATGTTTTTTGGTGTTTTTGTTTTTGCTATTTTTTTTTGTTTTAATTTGAGGAAGTTCTGTTTCAGACTTTTGTTACTTTTCTAAGGTATCCACCCTACCTACCTCTCATTGATCAAATAAGTTTCACTTTTGTTTGCCCAGGCTATCTGTTGCCATGGTGATGGTATCACTCAATGCCTTATGACATTGTCTATTCCTTGGCCTGTGTTTCTCACCTTTCCTTATCTCCAAAGGTCATGCCATTTGCCTTCCAGTAGAAGTTCTGCAAGGAGAATAACCTGCCTACCACAATCACTGGCTCCTTCCCCAGTCCCAGGAGCCTATAAATTACAAAGCAACTGGAGACAAAAATGGTGCTGGTACTGGACCTAGAGTAAGCGTCCCCATGCCTGCACTTCACATTCATCACTTGAAGGGTTATCCTTTCTCCCACTTTCAAGGGAAACATGGTGGTAAACCAAGATGAAGCATAGGTACCACTAGCCCCAGGTGCAATAAATATGGGAACACTGTCTGGAAAGTTTTAAAACCACAGTAAAATACAGTTAAAGTTGGCTGTCTTTCCATTATCACCATGTTCCAGCAATTCTAAATGATGTCAGTGTAGAGAAGGAAAAGTCTCTTTTTCTACTAGTGATCTTAGTTTCATTGACTGGACCCTGTAACAAAAGACAGGCAAACAAGGGAAAAGCAAACAGATGTATTGAATATGAGTGTATGTGACATGGGAATCTTCATAAGGAAATGACAGAAGTATAGCAAGGCCTTAAATGCTGCTTTTTCTAAAAGTAGTGATTCTTAGGCCTGCAAATGTCCTGTGGGTCAGTACAAGAACTTGGCATCTCTGCCTCCATATTGCATCTGTCTTCTTTGCTCTGAGTCATTCTCTTCTCCAGTCAGATTGGATTCCTGGAACAATGGGGCTGAGAGATAAACATCTATGACAAGAGTGGCCCCCTTCATGACTTTCTTATCTCAACAAGGGTTGGTCTGACTGATCCTGAGTTAATGATCATCCAGACCAAGACTAATTAACTAGGAATACCCCCACACACACTCCTGACCCTTCCTCATGTAATTTGGGAGCTCATGTCACTACCCCCAAAGATGGGCTGACATGCTTGATTTCCTGTTTTCCTCCATCTTCCTAATACAGCCATTTTAATTGATTAAAATCCTTTCCTGCCTTTTCACCATTACTTTTGTTTGCTTTCAGAGCAGACAAGACCAGTGTCTGGTCCTGATTCATTGGGATCTCCAGGTTCTGTCCTCTGACCTAAGACTCCAGTAACAGAAGAAAAAGTTAAACCTGAGTGTTTTTTGTGCTAGGTTTGACGAAGAGTGGGACATCATAGAGAAATGGGATGAGATGTAGAAAAAGTATGAGCCAAGAGTAGTAACCTGAGGAAGTCACAGCAAGGCCTGCGGATGTGCTGATTCCTCCTTGCTTCTCTGTATCTTCCAAGATAAGGATGCTCTTTTCCTCAGGGATGGGGAGGCCACCTGTCACATGAGGGTCTTATGAGCTGCTTTAGGAGAAGATCAGAAAATACCGCCTGCACATGCTATTCTTCAAATTAACATCAACTTAAAATATTGACGATGCCACATACCATATTCTAGGGGCAGTGCCTGTGTCTTGTCATCAGTGTTGTTGATGATCAGCGATACTGAAACGCCTCCCCAGAAAGCTCTTTCGTTGGTAGTTCTAAACAACCCCTGTAATGATTGTTGAGTCTTAACAATAATAATAATCAAAGTAGCATATTTATAACTTACCCTTTATAAACATTGTATTCTACTTAGAAATTAATTCACAGAACTGCGGCTATACCCATTGGATCCCCACATGTGATTCAGTGATACACTATGGATGTAAACTCCTGAGGGTTGACAGCATTGAATTTTCTGATGGTACACAGTTCATATCTATAAGCCTGTTGATGCTACCTAGCCCTGTGTTTAAAGACTAAGTTTAAAATCAACAGCAATAACATAGCTGGAAGAATGAAGAAGCAGAGCTTCCAGTGTTGCAGTTCTGTGTGTAAAACTTATCTAACTTTGGAAGGGTTTATCTTATTAAAAGAAATACTTCAATTGAATTAAAATATTATTAGTCCATTATTTTTTCCCTTTTGTGCTATAATAATTAATATTAACTGTCTTGAATCTATATACAAACTTAATAGATGCTTTTTAATTAAAAATTTGCTGTTCTTTTCTGGCCTCTATTATTATTTGCTTTATTGTAAGATCATTTCTAAACGTAATTTTTCCAAATAGACGAGAGTGTCTTAAATGATCCCCTCTGGGTATCCAGTAGGCCACGTGCACCCTCTGCCCCAATCTCTGCCTCCTACCCCCATGTCTGTGCCTCTCTAAAAACCTAGAATAACTGCTTCCATGAAGACTTGCCCTAAAAATCTCAGCATCTTTCTGTCTTCTATGAATTTATCTAATATGTTACAGTTCTTCACAAGATGTAGCACATGATGGCTTTCTAACACTTTTTTCCCAAACCAAATGTGAGCTCCCTAGATGTCTGAGTTATGACTCACATTTCCTCTTTCTGTTTCCTAAAGCACACCTTACCCAAGTATCTGATTAAGATATGCTCTGTAGTAACCAAATACTTCCAAGGCAGTTCTTCTGCCATCCTCCCACCCCCAAACTTCACTATGCCCTCATCACATTATTGAATTTTTTTATTTTTTAAATCGGGTTTTTCTGAAACCTTGATCTGATACAATCACTGATCTTCAGGAAAATAGAACTGGCTTCCAACACTCATTCCTAAGGCATGTGAGGGGAGAGAAGGGAAGTCAATGCCAGCAGCTAAGGTCTAGTTTGACCCCCAGAGCAGTGACTTCACAACAGTAGGGAGACAGTCATTGAAGATAGAGTAAGCACACCATTATATATGTCAATGAAAACCATCTTTATTTTTATCCCTTCTTTGGCCAACAATTCTCAAAATATGATCCTGGGGCCCCCAAGAGTCCCTGAGACTTTCTCAGAGGTTCTATAAGGTCCAATAATTTTTATAACATTACCCAGACATCATTTGCCTTTCATAAGTAGAAGATGGAGTTTTCCACACACCACATGACACATAATAAAATAGAGTGTGGAAGTAGATATGAAAAATCCAGCTATGGTACACTAAAGCCAGCTAGTGAAAAGATTTGCAAGGAATCTAAAACAGTGCCAGTCTCCTCATGCATTTTGGGTTTGGATAAATAGTTATAATTCATTACAACATTCTATTTCTATTAATACATAAATGAGTTTATTGTTACTTTTAAATAAATTAAGAAATGCATACTTTGAATTCTTCAGTTTTAATTCCATGTACAATGGGTAGCACTAAATATAACCCAAACAAACAAAAAAGATCTTTGAGGTCCTTACTTAGATTGTACAAACTAGGGAATGTGGCTTAGTGTAGAGCATTTGCCTGGCATGCATAAGGCCCTGGTTCAATCCCCAGCACTGCAAAAATAAAATAGACCTAAAAAATTGTAAAACCCCAAACAGTTGGAAAACTGCTATGTTAGGCCAGGGCAGGTATTTCAAGAAACCTATTCTTACAGTTCTTTGGTTGCTTTTCCTTGCATCAAATCAAGGTATTACAATTGAATCTAAGGGAAAAATTAATTTGCTCTTCTGTTAATTCTTTGCCCTTGCTGTGTAAAGCCCAGTCTTTGGACCACTGACACCTGTAGAAAGGCCCTGATCCAGACCTGCTGAGTCACAACCTGCATTTGCAAGATCCTTGGGTGAGTTTTAAGGCACAGTTTGAGAGTTAGGAGCACGGCTCCACTGTGCTGTCCTGAATCTTGGATCTTTGTCCAACTTCTTTTGCCATGAGGATCGACTCTCTCTACCTCTAATTTTATGCTCATTAGATTTCCAACTATAACTCAACACTTTATCCTGGTAAAACTTACTTCTGCAGGGAGGAAAATGAATTTTCTTCACCATTCATGAGTTCTTAGTTAGGACTACCTGAAACAAAAGGCAGATTAACAAGAGAAAAAAACAAAAATTTACTATCACAGATGTCTCCTGTATGCATTCTCTGGGAGATTACCCAGAGAAATGAGCAAATCCCTAGTGCAGATCTTAAAAGTTGTCTTGGATTCCAGCGTTCTATATTATGGTTTTCTGGAACAGAGTAAAGAAGGGTGTAGGGAAAGGCACACTTAAGACAGAAGGCTGACAAGGCAATACTCAGCAAAAAGAACAATGCTGGATGTAAAGCAATAGCAATAAAAACAGCATGGTACTGGCACAAAAACAGACATGAAGACCAGTGGAACAGAATAGAGGACCCAGATATGAAGCCACACAACTATAACCAACTTGTCTTTGACAAAGGAGCTAAAAATATACGTTGGAGAAATAGCAGCCTCTTCAACAAAAACTGCTGGGAAAACTGGTTAGCAGCAAGCAAAAAAACTGAAACTAGATCCATGTATATCACCCTATACCAATATTAACTCAAAATGGATCAAGGATCTTAATATTAGACCCCAAACTCTAAAGTTGGTACAGGAAAGAGTAGGAAATACTCTAGAATTAATAGCTATAGGCAAGGACTTTCTCAATGGAACCCCAGCAGCACAGCAACTAAGAGATACTATAGATAAATGGGACTTCATAAAACTAAAAAGCTTCTGTTCATCAAAAGAAATGGTCTCTCAACTGAAGAGAACACCCACAGAGTGGGAGAAAATATTTGCCAGCTACACATCGGACAAAGAACTGATAACCAGAATATATAGGGAACTCAAAAAACTAAATTCTCCCAAAATTAATGAACCAATAAAGAAATGGGCAAGTGAACTAAACAGAACTTTCTCAAAAGAAATTCAAATGTCCAAAAACACATGGAAAAAATGCTCACCATCCCTAGCAATAAAAGAAATGCAAATTAAAACCACACTAAGATTCCACCTCACCACTGTTAGAATAGCCATCATTAGCAACACCACTAACAACAGGTGTTGTCGAGGATGTGGGAAAAAAGGAACCCTCTTACACTGCTGGTGGGAATGTAAACTAGTACAACCACTCTGGAAAAAAATTTGGAGGCTTCTTAAAATTCTAAACATAGATCTGCCATATGATCCAGTAATACCACTCTTGGGGATATACCCAAAGGAGTGCGACACAGGTTCCTCCAAAGGCACTTGCACTATTCACAACAGCCAAGTTATGGAAACAGCCAAGATGCCCCACTATTGATGAATGGATTAAGAAAATGTGGTATTTATACACAATGGAATACTACTCAGCCATAAAGAAGAATGAAATCTTATTCGCAGGTAAATGGATGGAACTGGAGAACATCATCCTGAGCGAGATTAGCCAGACCTGGAAGACCAAAAATGTATGTTCTCCCTCATATGTGGACTTTAGATCAAGGGAAAACACAACAAGGGGATTGGACTTTGATCACATGATGAGGCAAGAGCACACAAGGGAGGTATGAGGATAGGCAAGAAACCCCCCTCCCAAAAATATACCAAGATAGCATTTGATGTCCTCAATGCAAAGGAACTAATGCAGAAATTGTAAAGCGACAAGAGGCCAGTAGAAGGGGACCAGGAACTAGAGAAAAGGTTAGTTTGAGAAGAATTAATTTAGAAAGTAACACACATACACAGGAAATCAATGTGTGTCAACTCTCTGTATAGCTATCCATATCTCAACTAGCAAAAACCCTTGGTCTTTCCTATTATTGCTTATACTCTCTCTTCAACAAAATTAGATTTAAGGGCAAAATAGTTTCTGCTTGGTAGCAAGGGGGTGGGGCGGGGAGAGGGAGGAGGTGGGGGGAAAGGAAGGGGCAGGAGGAAGGGGAGAAATGACCCAAACATTGTATGCACCTATGAATAAAAGAAAAAAAAAAGACAGAAGGCTGAGGCTCTACAACAGAAGCAGGTTGATTTAAGTCCAGGTCTTCTCTGGTAATAAAACTCTCTAGTCATCCTTCACTTCCAGGTAAGGAGATAATCTTCCAAATGGAGATTTCCTTTAAAGACTTGAATTTTTCTCACAAAAGGGAACTTCTCAGAACTTCTCCTCTCGTATTCAATTGCTCAAAATAATCTTTATGCGAAAGAGGCATAGTTGAGGCAGCAAGTTTTGGTTTCCTATGTTCATATTTTGTGGGTGGCATACATGAATGTCATCGTTTCTGCTGTACTTCAAATGTGTCCCTCAGTGTTCATATGTTGTAAGCCTAATCCCCAGTGTTAGGAGGTGTGATTAGGTCATGAGGGCTCTGCCTCATGAGTAGGTTGGTATTGTTATTGAGGAAGTGGGTTAGTTATCATGAGTCTGGGCTAGTTTCACAAGAGCAGATTGTTATCAAAGCAAGTTCGGCATCCTTGTGCTCTGACTTTCACCATGTGGTACTTTCTGCCATGTTACAACACAGCCAGAAAGCCCCCACCAGGTGCACTGTTTGATCTTGGATTTCCCAGCTTCCAGAACCACTAGTCAAATTATCTTCTTCATGAACTACCCAGCCTGTGGTACTCTGTTACAAGCAGGTGAAGTGGACTAAAAAAAATCTAATGAACTCTGACAAAGGACTAACCTGCCTCTCATTTATATATTCACCCTGCAGGGTCAATGGAATGAAGGATCTGTTGGCAGTTGTATCTATCAAAAGCTTCACAGTCCATTTAAGAGAAGATACTTGTGCTAGGTGCTGGTGGCTCATACCTGTCATCTCAGCTACTTCAGAGGCTGATATTGGGAGGATCACAATTCAAGGCCAGCCTGGGCAAATAGTTCAAGAAAACCCCATCTCCAAAAATAACCAGAGCAAAATGGACTGCTCAATGCAGGTTTGGCTCAAGCAGTAGAGTGTCTGCTTTGCAAGTACAAAATCCTGAGTTCAAACCCCAGTACCACCAAAAAAAAAAGAAAAAGTTTTGACAAGTTGATCCTGATACACAGCGAAAATTAAGAGTGGAAATATAATGGATATAATATGATTCCACATGTATGGAATCATCACAGTGAAATCCCCTTGGGTTATTAACATATGCTTCAAAAATAAAATAAATTTAAAAAAAAAGAATGGATGATCGTGCTGGCATGTTGCTCATGCCTAGCAAGCATGAGGCCCTAAATTCAACTCCTAGTACTGCCAAAAACAGACAAACAGAAAAGAGAAGAATGGCTGGGCACCAGTGGCTCACACCTGTAATCCTAGCTTCTCAGGAGGCAGAGATCAGGAAGATCCCAGTTCAAAGCCAGCCTGGGCAAATAGTTCACAAGACTCTATCTTGAAAAAACCCATCCCAAAAAAGGGGCTGGCAGAGTGGCTCAAGGGGAAGGCCCTGAGTTCAAACCCCAGTACCACCAGAAAAAAAAAAAAAGAATGGATGATACATTCAAATATGAGCACATATAGAAAAAAAGAACATAGTTTGTAAGTGCATGAACTCAATCATTTATTCATTTTGCCTCAACTAGGTTGTCTGAAGATTTGAACGGCAGACTTATTTAACAATTAGGTATTTTATGACCTTATGCTTTTTCCTGATTGATTATTGTCTCTAATGGGAAACCTGATGACGGTAGGGAAAATTAAGCCCAATTTCTCAAATATTGCTTACTCTCTGGATGAGCAGTGTTACTGGATTGAAGACCAAACTGAACTGAGAGGAACGTGCTGCATTGAGTTTTATACTAGAAGATACAGGATATGCTTGTGTTTCTTTGGTCCAAGGATCAGAATCCATGGACCAGATTTCCCTGGAGGGTTAAGGAAGTGCTGCAAGGAAATCAAGCATTATCTGTAAACTGAACATGTAATATGACTCACTCATGCACATGCCCACCATTCGTTTTCAAATGTATGCGTGGGCTTGATTGACAGAAAAGACAAAAAAAAAAAAAGATTTAAAAGCATTACAAAGCTGGGGGCATAGCTCAACAGAAGAGTGCTTGCCTAGCATGTGCCAGGCCCTGGATTCAATCTTCGGCCCTGCAAAATAGATGAATAAAAAAAAAATAATAATAAAAACATTTCAGCACATACAATTCCTTCTATCAGATAACTTGAAAAATAATTAGCAAACATCAACTATGTATTAAGTGTTCACAGAAGTAAACAAGACAGCCATAAATTAGACAGACATACAGACTGAGGTTAATGCTAATCCCATTATATTGATCTGTGGTATATATTTAGGAGTCTGTAATTCTTGAAACACTGCCTCAAAACCTGCATACCTGCCTTCATCTTCTTGTTAGCCTGTGCACAAATCTGTGTTAATTAGCAGTCCCAGTAGAGAAGAACTGTCATTCACACTTTTCTCAAAATTACCTTCAGATAGAGTAAACAGTGGCTTATGGTTGATGAATATGTTTCTGGCTGAATGTATGTCCTCAGTCTAGAATTAATCAAAGTAGAGCACTAGCCAGTGGGGGAGAGAGGGTGATGACCAAGATGCACTGACATAAAAAGAAGGCTGAAAATGATGCAATCCAGTCACCTCATTTTATAGAGAAGGTCTCTACAAAATGTTCGGAGAGGTGCAATAACTCTCTAGATCCACAGTTCACTAACTTTTAACCCTGTTTTTATTATTATTATTATTCCTTCTCAGAACTAAGCAGACTGTAGCACACCCGGGCTACTTTTTAAGGCATCGTGTCATCTACACTGCTCAGTCAGTGGAACAAAAATGGAGAATGGTGTTATTGTCCCCATGTGTTTTTTCCTAAGAGTATCATGTGCCCTGCACGTAAT